GGGGACCGGACACCCCTCCCCCGGCACCGGGATTGCACAGATCCTCCCCTCCCTTCCTCACCGGGAGAGCTCGGCTCCCTCTGCCCCGCCGGGGGAGCCGCTCAGCGGGCGGCGTACTGGGTCCAGTCCTGTTTAATGTCTTCATTAATGATCTGGATGACAGGGCAGAGTGTACCTTCAAGAGATTTGCTGATGACACCAAACTGAGAGTGACTGATACACCAGAGCATCCTGCTGCCATCCAGAGGGACGTCGACAGGAAACCCCTTGAAAGGGGCCAACAGGAACCTCATGGACTTCAACAAGGGAAGTGTCCTGCCCCTGAGGAGGAACAAGCCCATGTGCCAGGGGACACATGCCGGGGACAACCAGCTGGAAAGCAGCTTTGCAGAAAATGGGTCCTAGGGGCCCTGGTAGACACCAAGGTATTCAAAAGCTGTCTGGACATGGTCTTGAGGAACTGGACTGGCTTGGGGTGGCCCTCCTTGAGCAGGGAGGTTGAACCTCCAGGGATCCCTGCCAACGTCAATTGTTCTGTGATTCTGTATCTTCCTCAAGCTTTAAAAAAACCACTAAGAAGGTGGTTTTTTAAACACAGCGAATGGTAATAGCTCCTGTAACAAGAACACACTTACACAGAGAACTAACTCCACCTAATACCACAGCAATAACACCTACGTTAGCGCTACTTCTACCAACTAAGCACCAGCTTTTTTTGTAGCGTGGAAAAGAAAAGATCTTGGTGAAGAGAGAGGAGTAATCAGAACCTGTGCAGCTCAGTTACTTATGCAGATACAGAGCGGTAATTTCTGTTCCCTCACAACCTCATTCCAGTTGGAGGAGGCAGCTCTCCCTGCTGTTGTTCCGGCTGCTCGCTGGGCTGTGATTTCATCCGGACACCCTGTGTTGCAGACAGCTATTATGATACAAGCAGAAGGATAATGTATCCCAACAACTTCAAGGCACACGTCGTCCGGTGAGTCAGCAAGTAAACACGAGAGGAGGAAGCTAACACACCGACTGACAACGCGATGCTCATCTGAGCAACTTATTATTTTAGATACTCTCTTAGTTAAATACTACTAATCTGGTGTAACATGCGGTCCCTACTTCTGAAAGTTTTTTTCCTTGACCCAAATGGAAAGTCCTTTAAGACTAAAAATTCAGCCTACAACCGTGTTGTTTTTTTTTAAAATACCAAACCTCTGTCTTATATAACCTTACTGAGAAAATGGTAGCAAAACATTTTAAATCACCACACAATATCCAAAACATACTACGAGTCTTAGACTAAATATTTTATCATGTTGGCCTTCATCGCTGACACAGTAAGCGCTCAAAAAGATGCAGAATTTATTCAGATAAAAGACCCACTCACTCTGTGGTAACTAAATACAAGCTTAAGCATTTTAGACGCACCAGCCAACTAGCACTGACATCAAGAAAAAAATAATTACAGTGAAAAACAAACAAAATTTAACATTGTGTCGAAAAAACACAAGGAAATGCGCGTTCTTTATCTCCTAGGAAAACAGACATCCATCCTTTCCCATTTTACTTCCAGCTGTTTCCCAGCAGTACAGGGCTCCGATCCCAGCTCGGTGCACCACTACTCACGACGGTGCCACGCACAGACTCGTACGTTTGGTGTCACGGTGGGGCACGAACGGGCTCCAAACGCTCCAGGCCGCTCCCGGCCCAGGCTCTCAGCCCGGGAGCAGCCCCAGAGTCGGGACACGACCCCCAGCCCTTCTCCGACCCCCCGTTGCCCGAACCAAACCACCCTCCCGTCGACCCGAACCAAACCACCCTCCCGGACGCTTCACCGGCTTTTCCCTCCTCGCCCACTCGCCCGCCCCCGGGGAGCACCGGCGGCACCCCCAGCCCTGAAGGGGGCCCAACGGGCACCCTGCTCCCGCAGCCCCGGGCGGGCCCTGACACCGCCGCTCAGTCCCCACCCCGGGAGAGGTTTGGGGGGGGAGGCCCGGCCGGTGCGGGGTGACTCAGCACAACCCCCCGCGCCCCAACGGGGCCTTCCCCAGGGCCCGCCGCCACCACCGCC